CCGGACGTGCAGGCTCAGCAGCCACGGCCCACGGGCCCAGCCACTCCGCGGCATGCGGGATCTTCCCGGACCGGGGCACGAACCTGCGCCCCCTGCATCAGCAGGCGAACCCTCAACCACTGCACCACCAGGGAAGCCCTAATTAGTTATTTGAATAAGTTCAATAAGGATTTGTTTGTTCTCCTTGTAACAGAACACAATTAGAAACACTGGCTATATTACAATACCAAGGCTTTGACAGGAAAGTCATATTTGAGAGAGACATGCATAGACTCAGATATGACCAGACAGCTTTAAGGTACTAAGGTTGACTTCATGGAGCCAATAAAGCCTCTCAGAAACATCGACCTGGTACTTTGCTTACTGGATTCCCGGCAGCCTTACCAGGTAAGTAAGGAAGGTCACTTCCTGGCAGGCTTAGAAAGCTCAGGATATTTTGGGGATCTGAAGAAGAGAGGAATTCACACAACTATAGGCAAAATCTTGGCTAGGCTTCCTGTCCTCAGAGGCTTTTAAGAGTTCAAGCTGAGATTTCTTATGAAAAGTTCCAGCAAAGCTGTCTTAAAAAGAACTTATATGGTCAATCACTATTCTTGCTGCACTTATGTAAATAACAAGGCCAGTTTTAATGCAAACAAATTAGTTTTACTGTGATTATCTTGGTAAAAAAATGGAGGTGATTGTAGAGAGAAAAATTATGTTTGCATCTTTGTAGATACTAGATTTTAGTCCTGTTAACTGTCTTTGAAGTTTTGTTATATACCTGTAAACTGGACTGGATCCTCAATTCTTTTAGTTTCCTCAAATATCTGGCTATAACTCTCCAAACTAACGTTTCCAATTTTCTCCCACCCTTCTGATTTGGAATCACTAAGAATAAAGGCTGCTGTTAAATTTTCTTGGAAGGGACTATACCAGGTCTTCCTCATTTATCCAGATGGCAGCCAAACTTCAGGGACTTGAACCTTGGGTACACATCTCACAGCTAAAGAAGGCTGCACCCGACAACTGGTCCTGTGTAGACACTGGAGACTCCAAATCTGAGGAAGAGAAGTAGCTAACATTGATGTAGACTGCCAAGATGCCAAATCAAGACTTCATACTTTAGCTAAACATGAAACTCTCTCTCCTTCTCTTTCTTTCCTTTACTCTTCCAGGCCATTGCTAATAGAGTTAACCTTTCAGACTGCTGGATTTGTCATCAAAAATGCCTGTCTGTGATGCCAGAAGACCCCCTGGTTCTCCCTGTGACCAATTTCTCTTCTATTCCCAATTGACGCCCCCCGCCCCCACCAGGAGTCACTTAGAGTCTGACTTTCATGGCCAGAACATCCTGTGCCTTCTTTGACTTTTCTTCAATTATAACTGTACTTGCCCAGTTAGATACAAATACCTGTATAAATCATAGTACATATGCACCCCCATGCTCTTATGATTATCTAAATCAGATCTTCCCCCAATCATGAAAAGCTCTCACCAGCAGCACTCATCTTTGCAAGGAATTAGAACAACTTTTCATTTCAGGCTTAGAGTTTTACTTTCCAATTGTGCTGAAAACCTAACTGACCCCTGGCTTGAATGGACAAATGCAGCAATCCATTAACAATACCACCTTGGTGGGAATGGTTTGTGCCCTGACAGGATTTATCTTTGTCTGTGGTGTTTGTCATTCTCCTTGAGCCTATGAATGCCTAGATGGCTGGTGCATAACTGAGCAATCAATGCCTCTTAGGTTATCTAACTGTGCCCCTAGCTGTCCACAATCAAACTGAGACACCTCATTGGTCAACTCCCCTGAATTTACATCATCCAGTTAGAAAAGACCTCCCAGGAGGTGTTCATGATTCAGGATTCACTTCCTTTGGCAGGTCCCTACTTCCCTGGTTAGGAGTGAATACAAGTAAGGCTATGATCAGGAACCTCTCCTTAACTCTCGAAAATACTACAGAATCTACTGCAAAAGCCATAGCTGCCCAACAAAAATCCTTACACTCTCTGATCAAGATTGCTCTTGATAAAAAGATAACCCTTGATTATCTTTTAGCTGAGCAACGAGTTGTTTGTGCTGTGGCCAGCACCATTTGCTGCACCTGGATTAGTACTGCTGAAGTTGAAACTCAGCTGTATAAGATCACTGAATAAGCCACTGGCTTAAGAAAGTAACTCCTTCAACGGGTTCTTTCTTTGATGTAGTTGATTGGTTTGGGTCTTGGGGACCATGACTCCAAAGTGCACTCCAGACTTTGGGAATTATCCTGCTTACCACAGTCATAGTAGTCTCCCTGGTGTGCTGTGTTCTCTCAAAAGCTTTAAATGCATGGTTGCAGCTGCTCACCACCAAGCAAATGTAAGACTGGAATGTCAGGAAAGAACGAAGAGAACGACCAGCTAAAAAATTGTGAACCTGGAGTTATGACCCGTGAATGACACAGAGGTTCAGCTAAAAAGTCATGACCTGTGAATACTACACAGAGGATCAGCAAAAACTGTGGGAACTTCAGAGTGGTAGCTGAAAGTGCCACTAATGCCTTAAATTTTGATCACATCTCCCAGTTAAGCTGAGAGTCTGATCAGAAGGGGGAAATTGTTAAAAAAGAGACAATAGGCCCCAAATGGAGTCACTTGTGCTAAGCCCACATCACCAAACTGAGACTTAATACCTAACCTAATTGCAGTTTCAGCCTCTCCCAGGAATGTAATTCCAGTCAGTCTGGAATTGTCTGGTCAGCCGTAGTGAGGTAATCCACCTGATAGACCCCTGCTGTCCCCCAAAGGAAGGTGACCTTGCTTGAAACAATCCACTCGTTGCTAGTAATTTCCTTGTCCCTCCACCTTCTGCTTGTAAAAGTCTTCTATTTTGTACTGCTCTTCAGAGTTCCTTTCTATTTGCTAGATGGGATGCTGCCCAATTCATGAATTGTTGAATAAAGCCAATAAAATCTTTAAAGCTTACTCAGTTGAGGGACTTCCCTGGTGGTCCAGTGGTAAAGAATCCACCTTGCAATGTAGAGGACGTGGGTTTGATCCCTGGTCAGGGAACTAAGATCCCACGTGCCGAGGAGCAACTAAGCCCGCATGTCACAACTACTGAGCTTGCGTGCCTCAACTAGAGCCCATGTGCTGCAAACTACAGAGCCCACATGCCCTGGAGCCTGTGCACCACAACTAGAGAAGAGAAAACCCGCATGCCACAACTAGAGAGAAGCCCACGCACCACAACGAAGAGCCTGCACACTGCAAGGAAGGATCCTGCATGCCTCAGCAAAGATCCTGCGTGCCACAACTAAGACCTGACACAGCCAAAAATAAATAAATAATAAATAAATCTTTAAAAAACAACTTAGTTGAATGTTGTTACTTAACAGGTATATTGTACATTCTCTTTTGTCGCCTTTTTAAAAACTTACTACATTTTACAGGGTTTTCCATGTTGGTAAATATAAATCATTTCAATCCTATTGTATAGAGATTCCATGTTCTATTTAACCAAACCCTATTGTTCAGTGTCTGAGGAATCTCGAGTTTTTTGTTATTACACATGATGCACATTGAATGTCCATACAAGTTGAGTGGGGATTGAATAGCTCAATCAGTATAAAGCACTTCACAGAGTACTTGGTAAATAGTAAGCTCTTTATAAATGTTAGTGTTATTTTTATATTGTCAAATTGCCCCATATAAAGGTGAACTAATTTACATTCCTGATAGCAGGGTGAGAGGGCTTAGTTTCCTTAAATCTTGGCCAGTTCTTTCAACTTTTGCCTTTTGTATTTCTTCCTCTGTAAATGGCCTGTTCATGTTCTTTGATGGTTCTCCTGTTAGATTCCTCATGCTTCAAAATTTTTAATGGGTTTCTGTACTGGGGCTATTAAGCCTTTGTAATATGAATGACAGGTACTTTTTCTTCTAGTTTTTTTGTTTGATGTTCGATTTTGTTTACTTTAACCACACAGATGTTTTAAAGTTTAATACAGTTAAATCTGTCCATTTTTTCCTTTAGGATTTTGGTCTTTGCTGTCTTCTTCTTCTGTTTTTTTTGGGGGGGGCCACGCTGTGAAGCTTGTGGGATCTTAGTTCCCTGCCCAGGGATTGAACCTGCGCCCCCTGCAGTGGAAGCACAGAGTCCAAACCACTGGACCTCCAGGGAATTCCCTTGCTGCCTTCCTTTAGAAAATCTTTTGCCACAGCCTAGGTTTGAAGTTCAATGGGGGTGAAACCTCTCCTACCTTAAGTTAGGTCCACCAGCTTTCCTCTGAGGCTTCATTCTTCTGGGGTGTGTTGTTCCAAATTCTACAGCGGAATTCACAACACTAGAATACTTTCAAACGTACATGGGAAGGGAATACTTCTATTAACTTTGAATGATACAAGGTATATTAAGAATGAGTGTCTTCTACCTTCTTCCTACCCAGAAAACACTTGTGCCTTTTCATATTTTCTGCCTTGCTTTGCTTCTCTTTTTTTTTGGCTGCACTGAGTGGCTTGTGGGATCTTAGTTCCCTGACCAGGGATTGAACCTGGGGCCTCGGCAGTGAAAGCATGGAGTCCTAACCACTGGACCACCAGGGAATTCCCTACCTTGCTTTGTTTTCTAGGGAGAGTTCTGTCTTCATCAGAGCTATTCTTTTGGGGATCAAACCAAAGAGAAATTGAATTGCATATACATTTATTTGGAGTTAGTGGGATATACTTATGTGGTTTGCTATCACTTCTGCATATAGTTAAGTTATTGCTGGCTGTACGAGTGTAGGAATGACTTGTGGAAACATTTCTGAAGTGGTAAATCTAAAGCTTATTTAAGATTAGTTATTACTTAAAAAACGTGACACATCGTAAAATCTTCCAGCTTACGTATAAAAGAAATGACCGAGGATTTCCCAAATTTTATAACAATCCAAAAAATTTACATGACATTGACCAGTGGTGGTGAGTTGTGAAGCTGCAAAATACTTTTCAAACTCTCAGAAAAAAACCGAGTTGTTTTTCTGTTCTCTCTATAGAAATTGTACTACAAAAGGTGTATTGGATGAAGAGGTGATCAAAAGACATGCAACCAAAAAATATAGGAAAAAGGTATATATTTAAAGTGATGAAAGGGAAGAACCTACAACCAAGATTACACTACCTGGCAAGGATCTCATTCAGATTTGATGGAGAAATCAAAAGCTTTACAGACAAGCAAAAGATAAGAGAACTCAGCACCACCAAACCAGTTCTACAACAAATGCTAAAGGAACTTCTCTAAGTGGGAAACACAAGAGAAGAAAAGGACCTACAAAAACAAACCCAAAACAATTAAGAAAATGGTCATAGGAACATACCTATCAATAATTACCTTAAACGTGAATGGATTAAATGCCCCAACCGAAAGACACAGGCTTGCTGAATGGATACGAAAACAAGACCTATATATATGCTGTCTACAAGAGACCCACTTCAGACCTAGGGACACATACAGAATGAAAGTGAGGGGATGGAAAAAGATATTCGATGCAAATGGAAATCAAAGCTGGAGTAGCAATACTCATATCAGATAAAATAGACTTTAAAGTAAAGAATGTTACAAGAAGCAAGGAAGGACATTACATAATGTTCAAGGGATCAATCCAAGAGGAAGGTATAACAATTATAAATATATATGCACCCAACATAGGAGCACCTCAATACATAAGGCAACTGCTAACAGCTCTAAAAGAGGAAATCGACAGCAACACAAAAATAGTGGGGGACTTTAATACCTCACTTACACCAATGGACAGATCATCCAAACAGAAAATTAATATGGAAACACAAGCTTTAAATGACACAATAGACCAGATAGATTTAATTGATATTTGTAGGACATTGCATCCAAAAACAGCAGATTACACTTTCTTCTCAAGTGCGCATGGAACGTTCTCCAGGACAGATCACATCTATGGCCACAAATCAAGCCTCAGTAAATTTAAGAAAATTGAAATGATATCAAGCATCTTTTCTGCCCACAACGCTATGAGATTAGAAATCAATTACAGGGAAAAAAACGTAAAAAACACGAACACACGCAGGCTAAACAATACGTTACTAAATAACCAAGAGATCACTGAAGAAATCAAAGAGGAAATCAAAAATACCTAGAGACAAATGACAATGAAAACACGACAATCCAAAACCTATGGGATGCAGCAAAAGTAGTTCTAAGAGGAAAGTTTATAGCTATACAAGCCTACCTCAAGAAACAAGAAAAATCTCAAATAAACAATCTAACCTTACAGCTAAAGGAACTAGAGAAAGAAGAACAAAACCCAAAGTTAGCAGAAGGAAAGAAATCATAAAGATCAGAGCAGAAATAAATGAAATAGAAACAAAGAAGACAATAGCAAAGATCAATAAAACTAAAAGCTGGTTCTTTGAGAAGATAAACAAAATTGATAAACCATTAGCCAGACTCATCAAGAAAAAGAGGGAGAGGACTTAAATCGATAAAATTAGAGACGAAAAAGGAGAAGTTACAAAAGACACTGCAGAAATACAAAGCATCCTAAGAGACTACTACAAGCAACTCTATGCCAATAAAATGGACAACCTGGAAGAAATGGACAAATTCTTAGAAAGGTATAACCTTCCAATACTGAACCAGGAAGAAATAGAAAATATGAACAGACCAATCACAAGTAATGAAATTGAAACTGTGATTAAAAATCTTTCAACAAACAAAAGTCCAGGACCAGATGGCTTCACAGGTGAATTCTATCAAAATTTAGAGAGGAGCTAACACCCATCCTTCTCAAACTCTTCCAAAAAATTGCAGAGGAAAGAACACTCCCAAACTCATTCTATGAGGCCACCATCACCCTGATACCAAAACCAGACAAAGCTACTACAAAAAAAGAAAATTACAGACCAATATCACTGATGAATACAGATGCAAAAATCCTCAACAAAATACTAGCAAACAGAATCCAACAACACATTAAAAGGATCAGACACCATGATCAAGTGGGATTTATCCCAGGGATGCAAGGATTCTTCAATATATGCAAATCAATCAATGTGATACACCATATTACCAAACTGAAGAAGAAAAACCATATGATCATCTCAATAGATGCAGAAAAAGCCTTTGACAAAATTCAACACCCGTTTATGATAAAAACTCTCTAGAAAGTGGGCATTGAGGGAACTTACCTCAACATAATAAAGGCCATATACAACAAACCCACAGCAAACATCATTCTCAACAGTGAAAAACTGAAAGCATTTCCTCTAAGATCAGGAAGGAGACAAGGATGTCCACTCTCACCACTATTATTCAACATAGTTTTGGAAGTCCTAGCCACGGCAATCAGAGAAGAAAAAGAAAAGGAATACAAATTGGAAAAGAAGAAGTGAAACTGTTACTGTTTGCAGATGACATGATACTATACATAGAGAATCCTAAAGATGCCACCAGAAAACTACTAGAACAAATAAATGAATTTGGTAAAGTTGCAGGATACAAAATTAATGCACAGAAATCTCTTGCATTCCTATACAATAATGATGAAACATCTGAAAGAGAAATTAAGGAAACACTCCCATTTACCACTGCAACAAAAAGAATAAAATACCTAGGTATAAACCTACCTAGGGAGACAAAAGACCTGTATGCAGAAAACTGTAAGACACTGATGAAAGAAATTAAAGATGATACCAACAGATGGAGAGATATACCATGTTATTGGATTGGAAGAATCAATATTGTGAAAATGACTGTACTACCCAAAGCAATCTACAGATTCAATGCAATCCCTATCAAATTACCAATGGCACTTTTTACAGAGCTAGAACAAAAACTCTTAAAATTTGTATGGAGACACAAAAGACCCCGAATAGCCAAAGCAGTCTTGAGGGAAAAAAACAGCTGGAGGAAGCAGACTGCCTGACTTCAGACTATACTACAAAGCTACAGTAATCAAGACAATATGGTACTGGCACAAAAACAGAAATATAGATCAATGGAACAGGATAGAAAGCCCAGAGATAAACCCACGCACCTATGGCCGACTAATGTATGACAAAAGAGGCAAGGGTATACCATGGAGAAAAGACAGTCTCTTCAATAAGTGGTGCTGGGAAAACTGGACAGCTACATGTAAAAGAATGAAATCAGAACACTCCCTAACACCATACACAAAAATAAACTCAAAATGGATTAGAGACCTAAATGTAAGGCCAGACACTATAAAACTCTTAGAAGAAAAACATAGGAAGAACACTCTTTGACATAAATCACAGCAAGATCTTTTTTGATCCACCTCCTAGAGTAATGGAAATAAAAACAAAAGTAAACAAATGGGACCCAATGAAGCTTAAAAGCTTTTGCAAAGCAAAGGAAACTACAAACAAGAAGAAAAGACAACCCTCAGAATGGGAGAAAATATTTGCAAATTTATCAACAAACAAAGGATTAATCTCCAAAATATATAAACAGCTCATGCAGCTCAATATTAAAAAAACAAACAACCCAATCCAAAAATGGGCAGAAGACCTAAATAGACATTTCTCCAGAGAAGACATACAGATGGCCAAGAAGCACATGAAAAGCTGCTCAATATCACTAATTATTAGAGAAATGCAAATCAA